TTACTACATTTCTCAAATAATGTAAAAGCCGATGCTACGGCAAATTCTTCGAAGATAAGAGCGGAGGCACGACCGTTCACTCCGACGGCGTCAAACGCACCCGTCGCTGCGAGCAGCAATCATGTCGCGAACACACGGACCGGTCCCCCCGCGGACACGGTTCCTTCGAATGTCCTTTTGGCAACCGCATGGGTTGACGTTCACACGACCGAAGGCCGAAGCTTTAAAGTTCGCGCCTTACTGGATCAAGGATCCACTTTCAGTTTTATTTCGCAATCGCTCTATCAGACGTTGCGTACAAAACGACAACGCTCAAATTTTCAAGTTACGTGTTTCGGCGAGAAATTTACAGGCGTCGCGAGATCTCGCGTCGCACTGACATTAAAGCCGTGTTCCAGTGCGGAACCGGGCTTCCCGCTGCACGCCTACGTGTTTCAAAATATTACTTCGTACGCCGCGTCGCAGACTCAGCCCGTCGAGTCGTGGCCTCACTTGCAAGGCATCTCATTTGCCGATTCCGATCCTTCCAGTCGACATCGGATTCACTTACTAATCGGTGCCGACTTGTACGGTTCCTTGTTGAAAAATGGCCTCCGGCAAGGCCCTATTGGAACGCCTACCGCTCAATTGACAGCGTTAGGCTGGATTCTCTCCGGCCCCACGGGTTGCGGCCGGATTGAATCCGCGAATATTTGCGTCTGTCATAACGTGTCTACGCACGACACGAATTCGCTTCTCAGACAATTTTGGGAGGACGAGGAGGTCTCACGCCCCCCTCCACTTACCAACGAGGAGGAGCGTTGCGAACAACACTTCCTCGCCACTCATAGCCGTTCTCCGGAAGGACGGTACATCGTTCGATTGCCCTTCCGGCACGAACTACCAATCGACATAGGCGATTCCCTGCCTATCGGCACGGTATTCTACGGAAAAATGGAAAGGATGCTGCGTCGGCACGCCGAACTCTCCGCGCAATATAATGACTTTTTGGCGGAATATCTCGCCTTGGGACATATGAGCGCGATCGAAAGTCCCAGCGACACCGCCCTTAAACCCGTGTACATTCCGCATCATTCGGTTTTACGCGAAACAAGTAGTACCACGAAGTTACGCGTCGTTTTTAACGCCTCGTGCAAAACGACGAACGGCACGTCGCTTAACGACCATCTGCTGATCGGACCCAAGTTACAGAAAGATCTCCCCGCTATTCTACTGCGCTGGCGGTAGTGGCGTTTTGTTTATGCGGCAGACATCGCCAAGATGTTCTGGCAAATCCTTGTGAATAATCTCGATACCGACTTCCAACGAATTCTCTGGCGTCCGTCCTGCGACACGCCGATCACGCATTTCCGGCTTTTGACAGTGACGTACGGGCTCGCTCCCGCTCCGTATCTCGCGATGCGCGTTTTGAAACAATTGTCGTTAGACGAAGGGTCCGACTATCCGGCGGCCGTCCCGATACTACGCGACTCCGTCTACGTCGACGACGCGCTATTCGGTGGAGATGACGACGCGTCGCTGATAGAATGTCGCGAGCAATTGACGGGACTCCTTCAGCGAGGGGGCTTTCAATTACGGAAATGAGCGTCGAATTCGCCTGAATTGCTGCGCGATTTGGCAAAGCGTCAAACCGACATGGAGGATCACCTCCTTCAACAGGACGAGACCCTTAAGGTACTCGGAATTTCGTGGCTCCCCCACGACGACATGTTTCGTTTTCAAGTGGACACTTCGTTTCCGGTCACTCCGACGAAGCG